CTTTAATATGCCCTGCAAAGAGTATTCATTACATGGCAATCGAATCAGATTTGGCACTCTCTTCATTATTGTGAGCATCAATTCTCCACCATCCTTTGTTGCTGGAGGGCAGCTGCCTCCCAACTGTCTGGTTTTGTGTTTCACAAAGCCTCCTTCACAGAAGCCAATTTTTATATTGCTTATACCAGTAGTTAGTCTACTCGGCTCTAAGTCTTCCTGTTCCACGTCAGTCCATCTCTTTTGTAGCCTCTGCCACGTCCATTTAGATCTCTCGATCAAGCCAAATGGAAGCTGTTTGGGCATACGGTGACTGGGCCTACATGACCCAGCCTGCCAGAGGAGGTCACTATTCGAATTTTCCAGATGTTTCAAGTAATCTGTGAACTTTTTCAACTGTGTGTTATCAGCATTGCCATTGAGAGAAAGGGTGACAGATGGTTCATCACCATCATGGCACACTTACATCCACCACAACAAAGGTGCCCCTGGTCTGATGGAAAAGGCTCGAACCTCTCCACCATAAATGTTATGATCAAGGGACCACGGATAGGAAAATAAAGTAGCACATGCACACATATATACAGAAATGTTTACATGCATGAATGCACATGTGCATACATACACGAATATTGAAAGCAAAAATAAATTCTGTGCTTTTATAACAGTCTTAGTTTTAATTTGATACCACATCATTGTGGCAGAGCTTGTACTTGGAGAAGATATAGGAATATAGAACAATATACATATCCGTGGAGCAAAAATGTGGAGTGTGCCCTTATGGGAAATGTGAAAGAAAACAATTCAGCAGCTGTTGAGCTCTGTTCACCAAACGAAACCATTTGCCTCATCAAGTGACCACACTCCATGTGATGCAGTTTTTCAAGAGAAAAACCTCTCACATTTTTTCTAAATGTCATGCAAAACAGCATGCTTTTATGTCCTTAAATGGACAGTCTGGACATGTAAACAGTGAAATATTTGTATATAAAATAGTTACAAATAAAAATCTGTTTTATTTTGGGTTTTTTTACTCAAAATTTGTTCCCGATACATAAAATAATCCTGGAGAACTTTCGCAGAGCATTGTGACCCCGTGTACCCAGGAATGGCTGTGCTAAAATTATTTGGACAACTTCTGAAAATTGCAATGAGTGGCCTTTTCATCTTTATTCAATGGAGGACACGCTTTCCCACAATGTTATGAGAGTGATGTTCCATGATAATTAATTTAATATTTTAATTCCCAGAGCTTAAATGTAAGAAAATTAAGTTTCTTAATTCCTGCTGCCTCATGACTGTGATCATGATCAATGACGGAGCCAGGATTTCAGGTAGAGGGGCAACCCCTCCATCAATTAAAAATTATAGGAGTTGTTAGTAAGTAAGGACTTGTCCCTTGCTTTTTATTCGACGCGTGTGCGGCGATGGCACAGCCATCGATCCAGAGTCGAATTCGAACTGTGTGTGATCGGCATCACGTTCGCTGAAAATATGCCTTCAGGGAAGTCGTGTACTGTATACGCAACTGCGCAAAATTCTGTAAGTCACTTATAACTGCTTTGCCGTTACTTATTGCCAATTATGGACTCGGACTATTGTCCTATCATCTCATAGAGCACTGGCACGTAATAATATGCTACACAGTAGCAGTGGGGGTCGCAAAATGCCGATTTATTACTAATAAACCCCAAGAAATTAGGGATTTCGATCAGATCATTGGGGGGGGGGGAGGCACGTTCCACCCCACCCCCTCCACTGGCTTCGCCAGTGATCATGATGTTGATGAAGATGATTGTGATGAGGAAGATGATGTTGATGATAATGGGCCATTATTGGATGCCCATGGATGTGTGGGGATGTCTGCAGGGTCCTGGGCCGCGGTTCCATGTTCGTGCTGTCGGCAGAGCAGTTCCGGCGTTTGCTGGGCATTCCAGAGAGCTGGCGTGCCGACTCCCTGCTGGACTTGGGTGCTGGTGATGGGGAGGTGACTGCCATAATGGGAGCGCACTTCAACCAGGTGTTCGTTACTGAAGTGTCGCCCACCATGCAGTGGCGACTGCGCAAGCGCAACTTTACGTGAGTCCTGTTACGGAGGAGTGGGTTAGAGTCAGGATAAGTAAGATGGCCGGGTGGCTGAGAGGTTAGATCCCTGAGGTGGCACTTATGAGGTCCTCAGTTCGAATCCAGGCAGCTGCTTGTGATTAAACTGCATCCTCAAGTATAGTGCAGTATAGACATAAACATTTTATTTATGCTGGAAGAACGCAGGTATCCAGGTCTAAGCTGGTTGGCATCACGTCATAAAGTCTTTTTCGTGACTCCACTAATCCTCCTATTTTTCATGAGCAAAAGAGGAATTGAGCGGCAATTTCCCCCGATAGTCCACAGCTACGAAAAGTGGTGCACTGTTTTTCCAGGTATTTGCAGATAAGTGGAGTGACAGTTTCATACAGTAGAACCTCTGGTCACGACCATAATTCGTTCCATAACTTTGGTCGCAACCCGATTTGGTCGTGACTCAAACCTAATTTCCCCATTGGATTGTATGTAAATACGATTAATCTGTTCCAGACTCCTACGAACTGTATATAAATATTGTTTTTTAAAGATTTTTAAGCACAAAAATAGTTCATTATGCCATAGAATTCACAGTGTAATAGTAAACTAAATGTAAAAACATTGAATAACACTGAGAAAACCTTGAACAACAGAGAAAACTAACATTGCCGCGTCAAGGTTTAGAATCGTTCAACAAGATGATTGTTTCGTCTGCTACATCAGTCGGTCGATTCTGAGAGATAGAGAGAGAATATTCGTATGAGCAATTCATGTTTCTATTGAAAGTAAGTTAACAGTAATATTTGGGTACAGTATTGTTTTTGGAAGCATTCACCGTAATATCGGATGAACGTTTACTTCACCGCATCATCATCGTATGAATGATGCGAGAAGAGATTAACGGGTTCTTATGTTAGCGATTTACGTACTCAGCGCTTTCGCTCTCTAAATTACGGCTTGAATGAGGGGGGAGGGGTATGACTACACTCACAAAATTAATATCTTACTAGGAATTTTATATAACAAAAGTTATATATAACTGTTACGCTTTGTGTTGTTTGTTGTAAGCAAACAACAGGAAATTTGGCGCTTACAAAAAAAAATGGCGCGGAAGGGGAAATCGGCCGCGGCCGTGTTTGATCGTCACCCGAGTTTGTGTTCGTGACCAGATTTAAAAATTTTGTGAATTTTTTTGGTCGTAACCCGATTTGGTCATGGTCAGAAGCGTTCGTGACCAGAGGTTCTACTGTACTATTATTCGTGTGTATTTGCAGCTTTGTGGTATCACATTCCACCATCGTGTTTTGTCACTCTCGTGATTACCCACAACCCATTGGCTTTAATTGATAATATGATAACCTGCTGCAATGTATGGATATAGAGGGATTTTTTTGTCTCTGTGGTTTGTTTGCTGTGTGCACGCAGCGTGCTAGGCGTGACAGAGTGGAACACTGTGTATGATCGGCCCTACGACTTGGTGAGCTGCCTGAACCTGCTGGATCGCTGCGAGCAGCCGCTGACACTGCTGCGTGAGGTGCGACAGGTGCTGCGGCCCGGCTCAGGGCGCCTTCTGTTGGCCGTCGTGCTGCCCTACAGGCCCTATGTAGAGCGCGGTGAGTGGAGTCCTTTATTGTCTCAGTTGCAACATTGGATAACATGTCTCTTGTATTCCTTCTTTATTCCCCTTGATCTCTTTCCCAGCAAACCTCATTCATTCTGTTTTCACATCTGAGATTGTGTCCAGTCCACATCTTTCACCATTTTTAGATGTTTATAATTAAAACTCTCCCAAAACCTACTACAGAACTTCCTCATTACTCATTCTTTCCATCCCACTGACTTTCTAAATCCAATGCCATACACACATCTCAAAACGTTCTCGTTTACTTATGTCTTCCTGTTTCAGTCCAAATTTCTATTGCATACAACACGAGATAGTAATCTCACATTTTGCTTGATTGACCATTCAGGTTTGTGAACACACCTCCCTGACAAAGGAGTTCACCTCGATCATGCTGTGGCGGTCCTGAGGTTTGATAATAAAAATAAACGTACCAACGTGTTGGCCGCAAGATGGCACATCGGTAACACTTGTGCCTCACAACAAGAAGGGCCTGGGTTCTATTTCTGACTTGGCTACCTTTCTGTGTGGAATTTGTATGTTCTCCACCTTTCTGCATGGGTTTCCCTCGGGTTCTCCAATTTACTTCCATAGACAAAAAAGCAATGTCAACAGTATTCGCCAAGCACCCCAATGCTGAAATATGATGTGCAAGTTACTCGTTTGGGATTACAGTTGAAATCTGATTTAGTAAATCTCGACTTCACCTCCCAAACTTAAACTCGAGATTACATGACAGCTTGAGAGAGGTTTAATAAAAAGACACATTGAAACAGCTTTGTTGTGGGGTCATCCTTAATATAGATTCATACTTTACCGGTCATATGAAATTCAAGACAACATTTATTTACCTTATGCTTTGGCTTTGACATATTTTAATGAAAATGTTGATAAAACTCAAAGTATGAAACTTAGTTATATGCGGTATTTAATTTTACATTTTTAACAAGGAAGAACAATGATGCATACCTATTAATTATGTAATACTTTACAACATGGCTTTGTCCTTCGAAGTATTTCATTCGGCAATAATGACATTGTATTCTAAGCCTCACAAGAAGATAGCATTACATGGTGCTCAATATCTAAGATGCCTTGGCCACCAAAAATCATTCCTTTGGTGCTTATTTTTAATTTTAGACTGGATTCCTCTAGTCTAAATAAATATTATTCTGATAATTGCCAGGTTTTGGACAACTCTTGGATCAACGTGGCCAATTTGATGCAGGGTCCCCAACAGCAACACAATTTTATGCTAACGTTTTGTTCATATTGGAATATCTTTACACGAGCGAGCTACCCCCCCCCCTCCCCCCCCCCCCATGGACAGACAGAAATAATGCATTAAAACTTACAACCTTAATTGGAAAGCCAAAAAAAAAATCTTGTTTTTTTGTTGTTGAAAGCTCCATTACTTGGGTAGCGTCTTGCCCTTGATGTTCTCATAAATCGGAGACTTTTTCACTTCCATCTGCAACCTTACTTTCTTGAGCTGTGGGACGAGAGGGGTGGTGAAGATCCACAGACACACAGCATAAAATCCGTGATGAAAGGTCGACTGCAGGACCAACCTTGCAAAAGCCCAAAAAATGTCTAATGGAGGTGATATTCATGTCAGAGCACTGAACTGGCACAACTGTATCCCAGATTTAAAACTGGACAACCATAACTCATAATTAAAACGAATCCTTATTGCTTGTGCCAAGTTTGTGGTTCTCAGCATTTTAACAGGTGAATTCTTTATTTTACCAGGTGAGAACCAAATTAAACTCAAAGTTTATTTTGCGAGTGTGACCTGGATCAACAATTAACAACCAATACACTAAACAAACTTTAAAAAACAGTAATATTAATAGAAAGGGATGAGACAAGGGGATAAGAAGAAAGAGGGAACATTGGCAAATACATAAATTACGTGTTAAACTAAATAAATTGAGCTTACCTGCATGCAACGAATTGGTATATTATCCATGAAGACTAAAATATATAGGTTTATAGATCTTAGCTAGATTTATATATAGATGAGGTGAATGTTTCGTGAACTAATCGTTACAATTCTTGAAGGGATCAATTAGCATTGGGAGAGAGGCCTATTAAAGTAACTTTCAGAAGTAGCGCTGTTGTTTTCTGGAGCGCTTCCATGATATGATGTGATGTTGAGTGAACCGAGAGGATTCTCACGATTCCAAAAATACGCCTGCGATATGATTACTCTTTGGTTCTTTCGGTAAAGTCACGTAGGTAGAAAAATAAAACGAAAAATAATATATCACGACGTTTCGATCGCAACACAAGCGGTCGTCCTCAGGCGGAAAAAATAATCCAGCAGTGGAACTGCTGAACCAGCGAGAGAGCTGTTACAACAAGATGTTATTTATGTGGCGATGGACAAGCAAGCGGGGTCTGAGCTGGAAAGGAATTCCATCCCCGGACGCAAGCACGTCAGTTGTGTTAATTGGGGAAATTAGGGAAAGAGAGATTAGGAAGATAGATTAGGATGAAATGAGCTTCCATCGCTGCATAAGAGTATCATCCCCGCATATGCGCACAACAGCAGTGTTAATGGGAGGTTAGCACTATGTTGATGGGAGAGATTACGCAGGGAGATTAGGGGGATTAGTAAGTTAATGTCATGTCTATGTGTAACACAAGCTGCGGCGCTGCCAACTGCGCTGTGAGGCAAGCGCATCCACGCAAGGGAACCACCGCAACGGTGGTCACGCCAGTGAGACACAAAGCCCATCACACAGCCAGAACCATCGGTACATCCAGGCTAAGGGAACAGAGGTGGCCATGTTAGTGAGACCCCAGCTCGTTAACGCAGAGGTACCTAAGAGGGCAATGCAACTCAGAGAGTCGGAGATAACAGCCAAACGGCAGGGAAGAATAGAAGCACCACAGCAAGTTATGACTTTGCCTTGTTAATAATGTCCTTCCAATGATTGCTCAGCTTTTACCCATCTTCTCGGTTGAAATTGTCTCTGTGTTTATATATCTGGATGGCTTCATGGACAAATCTATGATAGTAGCCCAAAGGTTTGCAGAGTACCTTGGTCTCGGAAAAAAACAATATCGTGCGAGCCCACTGCGTTATATCAATGATCAGCCACTGCAGAGGTATTGGTTCTGCCGTGTTTCAAATCTGCCTTGTGTTCGCGAACACGGTCCGAGACATGTCGTTTCGTTTCCCCAATGTAACTGCTGCCACAGACACAACTTAGTTTGTAGACACCAGGGTATTGCATGTCCGGAATGACATTCTTCACAATTGGGATCAAATCACAGATTTTGTGTACTGTATTGACTCGGACCTGGATCTTGTGTTTGTTTAAGATTTTGGAAATATTTTTGGTAACACCTGCTATGTATGGCAAGGTGATGGTTTTGATTGGGTCCTCAGATGGTTGTTTCCCCATGGTTGGGGCTACAGCTTTGCTTTGCGGATTGTACGGTCTGAGTATCCATTCATCTTGAAGGCTTGGTGTACGTGCTACAGTTTACTGGCTCGGTGGCGCTGGTCGGATATGCAGCGGGCCCTATGGTGTAGTGTTTTGATGAGAGAGTTCTTCTGGGCCGGATGGTGGTGGGAGTCAGGCTTTAGATAGGAATCCGTATGGGTGGTTTTCCTGTAGGCGGAATGTCCCAACGAGCCATCAGGCCTCTTCTTGATCAAAACATCCAGGAATGGTAGCTTGCCATCATTTTCCAATTCCATGGTGAATTTTATGGATGGGTGTGTGTAATTGATGTGGTTGGAAAAAAATGGTTCAATGCTGGCTGGCCATGTGGCCAGATGACGAAAGTGTCATCTACGTATTTCTTCCACAGGGAAGGACGTAGGGTGGATGTCAGGATGGCATCTGTTTCAAATTTCTCCATGAAAACATTCGCTACCACTGGTGATAAGGGAATGTGATATGATTGTAAAGTGAAATTAAAGTCTTGTTTGAATGAGCTACATCACACCTTCTGACCCTATCCCTTTCCAGAAGCTTGATAAATTGGGCCAAATTATGTTTGCCACTTAATTTGGCATACTTCAGCTGATAACATTTAGGATGCTGTTTAATTAGCGATAAAAATGGTCTCACAACTTAACAGGCACTGTTTATGTAAGCCTTACATAGTTCTTTGTTGGGTATAACATTTCTAACTCAATTTTTTTAGCAATGCTCAGAATAGGCACATCGACTTACATCTTTCTTCTTTACAGCAGTGGCAATGGCTTCACGTGGGCTTAGTTCTTCTTGAGGGAGGTTGTTCAGATCACTGTACGTTTGCGGAGTAGAAGCATTCAGTGACTGGGTTCACATTCACAGAGGAAAAGACAAACAAACAGTCAAATCCAACCTTTCTTAAAGGAACATACACAAACGTCATATAATAAAACAGCTCTTATCAAGAGTTTATACAGGTAGGAACAATGTTCCACACTGCCCACCAGGGATTTAGGGATTTATTGTCTGTCTGACTGTCTGTCGTGCATAAATAAATATATAATACACACAGCTCTTTGATTGGTGGAGACCTTACAAACAGCTCTTTGATTGGTGGAGACCTACTGCCGGGTACGGAGAGGGGAGGTGCCTAAGGGAGGAGGGTCAGGGGAGGGGCCTAAAGAAGGGGGGAGTCAGGAGAGGGGCCTGAGGGGGGGGGGGTTCAGGGGAGGGGCCTGATGGGGGGGGTCAGCGGAGGGGCCTAAGGATATGGGGGGGGGGGTGCTCAGGGGAGGGGCCTAACAGAAGGGGGGTCAGGGGAGGGGCCTAAGGGAAGGGGGGTCAGGGGAGGGGCCCAAGGAAGGGGGCAGTCATGAAAGGGGCCTGAGGGGGGGGGGGGTTCAGAGGATGGGCCTAAGGGAGGGGGGGTCAGGGGAGGGGCCTAAGGATATGGGGGATTGGTCAGGGGAGGGGCCTAAGGGAGGGGGGTAATGGGAGGGGCCTAAGCAAGGGGGAGGGGCCGATAGTTAAGGGGGCTGGCTACCTGGCTGGCTGCCTGGCTACCTGGCTGTCTGCCTGGCTGCCTGGCTACCTGGCTGTCTGCCTGGCTACCTAAAGTCAAGTTATCTTCTATACAGGTAGGAACAACAGGTTCCACACTGCCCACCAGGTATGAGTTGTCTGGCTGTCGTGCACGAATGCGCTGTCCAACCAAGTTCCTACCTGACCACTCCGAAGGAACGTGTTCCTGGTAGGAACCTCCTGGTTACACCAGCCCACAGGGGATTATTGTGTCCGTCCGTCGTGCATCCAAAAATGGGAGGGGTAGGGCTGAGTGGAGAGGAAAGGGTGGGGAGGGGCTGGGTGGGGAGGGTGGGGAGGGGCTGGGAGGGGAGGGGCTGGGTGGGGAGGGGCTGGGTGGGGAGGGGCTGGGTGGGGGGTGGGAGGGGTGGGCTGGGTGGGGAGGGGCTGGTCACCCCGTGGTGCCCTTATAAAACTCAACGTTTAACCTACTCACGTCGGCTTGTGCCCGCCCTCACAGTCGGGCATATTTGCGGAATACACCACACCGCCGTTGACCCTGGTCATTAACCGAGCAACCCAACGTTCCTACCGGCTCCCTCCGCAGGAATGTGTTTTATTTGCTGTATGCTTGTGCTGTCTGACAAAAGTTTGCACCATCGTTAATGCAAAAGTATAGTTTAAAATTACATTAATCGTACATTTATTTGATGGGTGTTGTCTACTGGACATCTATCAAACTACTGGACTTCTGTGAAAAAGAGCTTTATAGCTCATATGATTCCTCCAGTATAAATAAATATTCTGATTCTCTTCTTCCCCCACACCTTCGATTTAGCATGGTTGGCTGCGTACGGTTTCGATATCACTCCCACGTTTAATAGATTCGTTCTGTAATATGTCATCTGAAATGCCTGAATGACTTGAAATGTTTAGAAAAAATCATTAATAAGCCTTCAAACTATTGTTAGAGAGCTGTAGACGCACAACCTAGGTGTCTAACTATAAGGTAAGAGTTGTTTGTATTTTGCACTACCCCAATAAACATTACCTTCCTGCATGATGACTCATGTGGGTTGAACGTAGGGAAGTGGGTTTTGTTTGTGGAAGTAGATGTGTGCTCGTGTGTGTGCACATACATGCTACGTAGTTATCAAACCGAGTAAAATTTCACACCATGTACACAATTGATAATTATATTAACCTACCCTGAGTCTCTTCTACATTATTATGCACAATGCCACTGTGTGCTATGTTATCACATTCATGAGCCATCATCTGTCCATTGCTCTTGAAGACTTCCCCAAGGGATTGTCATCCCGGTTCTGATTCATCTCGCTGCTGCGCATGAGCAGATTTCATCACTTCATCTCCGCAGTGAACATCCTCTCATCAGTATCCTCTACCAACGGCCATCATCCCTTTCAGCGATGTTTCTTGCCCAAGCCCACTTATTCGCAGTCAATATGATATATTTAACTTGTGTATGTTCTATAATCCATATGGTCCTCTTCCGTTCACTCATTGTAAATGTAAGCATGCATATTTGCATGCTTATTTATACACTTTCATGAATGCAGGGATTCATATTCTTGGTTCTTTTGGTAAAGTCATGTAGAATGGAAATAAAAAAAAAAGTTAAATATTTATTATTTTATTACTATAAATTTTTTATTATATTTTTATTATTTTATTACTTCCCTTCTACGTAACTTTACCGAAAGAACCAAGAATATGTATACACTGTTCAGCTCTTGTTTAATCCTAATTGCCAATGGCTGTGCTAATACGACATGTTATAGCAGACCATTTACATTGTTTAACAACTTTCTCATTTAGGCACTTTTGTATTTAGCTTTTTTAAAATTAAGTTCAGTGTTCCAAAAGCTACTCAAATCTGCTCTCATCCGTCTCTTTATTTGATCGTCTTGATCCTGGTTCACCATTAATAACTGCCATAGGTACACATTCTGCTGTGTTTTGAGCCCAACTTTGCAGCCTTATTTATTAAGTTAACCCATTCATGTGGGTCATTTGCATTGGTTATTACAATGACTAGGTCATCAGTAAATCCCAAATGGTTCATTTTCTCCATATATATTTATGCATGTATTACATCTCAACAGAAATTTAGCTGGTCACACTTTACTTACTGAAAGGAATATGAAGAAAGAGTAGGCAGTAACGCATCGTGTACATGGATAAGCTGTTGAATATTGACATGTTTAAATATGTAAGAGCCAATAGTGAGATTAAGTACAAGAATGTACAGTAGGGATAGCAAAGTTGAAATGTGGTGTCTCGTGAAGTTGATACAGGCATTGCCAAGGTGGTCAGCTCACAGAGCCCATAATGACTCTTAAAGGTCTGAGAAAATAGCATTGAGATATTGGGTTTGAATATTGGTGAACACTTTTATATGAATCCAGTTTGTGAGGGGTAATGGTTTAATTGTCTTAGCACAGTTACCATTGACTTAACTAATATCCAACGTATATGTTATCTTTCACTTAACTTGGCATATTCTTTATTTGAAACTTTGGTTTGATTGAAATGTGATAAACAATTTTTGCAAGGATTTCAAATGTAATTCTAGGGTGGATAATGAGGTCTATTGAAGAAACTTAAGATGTATGTAGTTATACAATGTCATCTTAGGAGGCCGTTCTCTGGCACAGAGTGATACTTAGCTGCAGAGTTTCGAATTAAATGTCTTAGTCACATGCCATGATGACAATTTGAAATGTTTTATATGGTTTAACCATTCTTTACAAATCACAAAGCATCACTTTCTAGCGCTGAGTGAGATCAATATATTGATGAACATAGTAGTTATGTGTTATCATCTTTCTTGGCTGTTCTCACATGAAGTAATATTGTGCTGTGTGAGAAACTAAAAACAAAATCAATTGAGGATTTTTTTGTGATTGCACAAACAGACTAAGAATATTCATAGTTCTTTCGGTAAAGTCATGCAGAAGGGAAATAATACAAATATTAAACATAATAAAAATTCTCACGACGTTTCGACTGCAACACAAGCAATCATCATCAGGTGTGAAATCCACAGCAAGATTTTTATTTTATATATTTTTTATTTTTGTATTTCCCTTCTACGTGACTTTACCGAAAGAACCAAGAATATGAATCCCTGCAGTCACGAAAGCTTTAAATCAAAATTTTGACTATGAATAATAAAACAATTATCTACAGCCCTTCATCGAACCACTGCGAGATAAAGACCTCCCCAAAACGTGTTGGTCATATTTTTTTTTTACCGTAATTCACAGTGGTCAGTGTGGATTGGTAAAGGGAGGAGGGGGCAGGGTAATTTTAGATATAACTCCCACTGATGTTGGCCATGGTCAGGAATCAAATTCAGGTCTCAAGTTTCATTTTTGATAATAATTTCAGCTCGTAACATTCACAGTAATCGCTCACTCTCAAAGAGAGAGAACAACTGAGAGGCGAGAGGAACCACAAACAAGTAGGAAGGTAGTCATGTGATGAGCTGATGCCAACAATTCCCAAAGCTCTGTGGTCCTCTATATATGAAGGTGTTATCAGCAAATTCATGAGTTTACATGTGGCAGGAAACTTGAGCACCTGGAGAAAACCCACGCATGCGAAGGAGAAGCGCTCTATCCCATACATACAAAGCAGATGTATTCCACATGTTTGCTGTACCACCTTATAGCGAGTGAGGGCATGGTTCCTCCTCGAGACCCAGGGGAAGGGAATGTCACAACATCCGTCGCCTCCACAGTACTGGATAACAAGCGTGCACCACCGTCACCCGGCGATACATTAACCACTGTGCCTTCATATTACCCCCAAATAGATTCTATTTGGTGCTAATTGATCAACTCCAATCTAACATTATAAACCGGATCATATATCATGTACACACATGTATTTGGCCTCAGAAGTCAGAATCAGAATCTTTATCAGAATCTTAAGTTCGACTGGAGGAATCCGATGAGCTATGAAGTTAGTTTTCACAGATGTCCAGTAGTATTTACTTCGCAGGAGGAAACCGACGACTGGCTGTCAGGGAAATATTGGCATGCATACTTGCAAATAGTCCCCATTGCTCAGGTTTGTCTCCAAGACTTGGCAAACCCTTTTGATCAAATTGGCTGGTTTTATATAGAGTAAGTTCCTACCAATTGGCTACTGTTTGGTTGATATTAGATGATATTGATTGGAGGTGTCGTACTTGCCTTTGGAGAGATGGACAGACAGACGTTAATGCGTAAAAAAACTGGTTGTGACATTTGAGTGGGTTTGGTGGGTTTTGATTGTGCATGAGCCTCACCGCATATGTGTGTGGAGTGTCAATCTCTGTTGAACCTGAGGGGGGGAAATCTTCAGGAGCTGGCTGACCAATCCGGAACGGCAATCGAATCTGTCGGATGTTGGCACAATAATGCATTTAAGAATTTAAAAAATATATATATATTCTGAGATTATCCATTCATGTATATAATTGTACAATCTATGTAATATGAGTGAATGTATATTATTGGATGCCTATAAGTGTTCTCTTCCACTATTACTGTAGTGTCTGTGATCCTTAAAATATTATTGAAACGTCTCTTTTCGGATTCACCATGCAGATATTGTATCAGAGCTGGTAAATATGAAATTTACAGAAAAACACCACTGATACACATTATAGGCATTTCCATGCAGTAACTCGTCACTTTCATGATAGCACTAAGGTGAAAATCACTCCCACTCAGTGAATGTTTTGTCAGTAATAAAACAATGTTTACTTCTAAAATATATCATCTTAATTTCAGCCAATCATAAAACCCAAGGATGGATTGACAGATGGTGGAACAGAGATCTGATTATTATACTGGTTCCATGAGATCTTTAGTGTGGTCAGTGTTTTGGTGCTGTGAGGTGGATACCTTGAGCCAGAGAGCTACAGCCAGGATAGTAGTGGCCAGGCTGTATGCCAGTAACACCACAACAAGCACGACCAGAATGACGTATTCCCCTGAGTCGTTATCATCTTCACGTTTGCTTGCTGGTTTTGAAGAAACAAATACAGACATTTCTACATTCAAAATGGAGTCTTTTTCCAGTAAAGCCTCACTGAGTATTAGGACTTGTCCAGGAGGATCCTGCGTTGAGATGTTTAGAGAATTCCTTATTTAGTGTTTTTCTTTTTACTTGGACAATTTCTCATATATTCTTTGGGTCTTTCGGTAAAGTCACGTAGAGAGGTTCAAATTAATCAAAATAAACATAAAATAAACAAAAACTACGACGTTTCGATCACAACACAAGTGATCGTCATCAGGAGGAAAAAAGAGGGGGAGGTTTAAAATGGGTGTAGTCCAAGGGTCATAAACGAAGTAGGCGGGGCTAGTGATGTTAATGTGAGAGATTAGCATGTCAATGTAAGATAGGAGAGCGGCCTCCACTGCGAGCGTGTGGAGGTGGCTATGCTAATGTGAGAGATTAGCATCTTCTTGGTTCTTTTGGTAAAGTCACGTAGAATGGAAATAATAAAATAATAAAAATAAAACATTAAATAATTCTCACGACGTTTCGGCCACAACGCAAGCAGCCGTCCTCAGGTGGAGAACAGGTCTGTCGAGAAAACAGAGTCTGAATGACAAGCCCCAGGCTTGGAGAGTCTGAATGACACACCCCAGGCTTGGAGCGTCTGGGGTGTGTCATTCAGACTCTGTCTTCTCGACAGACCTGTTCTCCACCTGAGGACGGCTGCTTGCGTTGTGGCCGAAACGTCGTGAGAATTATTTAATGTTTTATTTTTATTATTTTATTATTTCCATTCTACGTGACTTTACCGAAAGAACCAAGAAGCTGAATCCCTGCAGTCACGAAAGCTTTAAATCGAGAGATTAGCATGTTAATGTAAGATCGGAGAGTGGCCTCCACGGAGAGCGCGTGGAAGTGGCTATGCTAATGTGAGAGATTAGCATGTTAATGTAAGAACGCAGAACCGCCGCCACGTCGAGGTTGGCGCGCGGAGGTGGCCATGTTGGCGCGATAAATTCCGCCTCTACGCGGAGGGTTTCCACTTGTGGCTTCGGCCCTCCGATTTTACATTGACAGGTTGAATTTCTCGCGCCAACCTCGAATATGAATTGCTACAGTCACGAAAGCTTTAAGTAAAAAATTTTCATGTTGCTGCATACAGTTTAGGGGGCATTTTGAGGAAAGTATTTTGAGTTAACCGGTAATTAAAGGTGATACATATAAATGTCAGTTAATTTGTGCATTAAATTTATATGTCAATATATATTTTTTTCTGTGTTACATAATTTCCCATAACTATTCATTGCAATGTTTTTGATAATAGTTTCCACCTAGATATAATGAACATAGTCAGTCCTATTCTGATGAGTTCAATGTGCTTGTAGGCATCAAAAGCATGGTATTAGATGCAAATATCATGACTTTATCTCTCTGTTATGGCCCTTTGAAGTTTTGCATAGTGGCCATTTTGCTTTATGGCAATTTCAGTCATAAAACATCAAAATCGAGCATGGAAAACAAAATATTCGGTTTTGACATACCAAAATCCTTTGGACAAGGAAGTTTGACAACTTTTCTTAAAAAATGCCTCCTATTTTCACATTTCTTGAGGATTGTCCGAGTCTATCTCCATCAGTATGAATTACCAGATGAACCTCGTCGTAACACACCGTTATTTTACTCACGTTGGGCTATGAAAACTAAAATATTGCCCACGAGTTGTTGTTACTTTGTTTGTAACAATTTATAGATTGATTAAAATGTATTATTTTGCATCAACTTGTGAATGCAATAATTTATTATCAACACATAATGTTGCTTATGGTTCATGAAACATTTTCAGCCACTAAACAAGTTTAAAAAAATAATGTTGACCCTGGGTGAGAATAATGTGTTGAATATAATATGTACTGAATGAGTGAAGAAAAAAATTATAATTTGACCAAAGACCAACCCGACTTTCTCCTTTTTAGACTAACATTGTTGGGAAGTTGGTGCGATTTCCAATAGCAGATACCGTTTCAAGGCTGGTGGGGTGTTAGGAAGTAATAATTATTGTTATCTTGACATAAACTGGACATCAACTCACCTTTCACGAATAGCTTTGTACCATCACCATGTGCCATGACCGTCTTCCCGTCAGTTGCGATCAGCATGAAGGTATAGATGCCCTCGTGCTCAATGGCCACTTGTTGCAGAACTAACGTACAACTACCATCTGAGGTGGCGTTCGGTATTTTCGCCACATCCTTGTAGTTTGGGCCCCATATGACAGTGTGGTGTTCGCGCTGGTAGTCCAGGACAAGGTCTTTGTTGGTGTTCCGCTTGCTTTCCCACAACATGGAGCCCGCATTTTTGAAATTCACGCTTGTGTTTGATTTATCAAGAACATAAGAGCAAGCGATCTCAGTGCGCTCGCCCTCCATTGCCAATACGCACCTGTCAGGTTGGGTCACATGGAGGCAGAATGTTCCTGCAACAAGGGTGAATGTGAAAGATCAGGCAGATCCATGCAACGTTTTCTTTGCATCTTTAATTATTATGACATTTCAGCACTTGCGTGCCTCAAATTCTTGTCTGCATGCTTAATGAGCCAGGAGGCTCTGTGGGTTCGACCCCCCCCCCCCAAGTTCCTTTGACCTCTGCCCCTTTGTTATCACAATGGCCTTGGGTGGGAGTTGGGAAGCCATCTTTGAAAATATTTGTTGCAAACAAAGTTTAACCTAATCAGTCATAAGTTTATACTCGAGTTGTTAAACAACCGGTAAAACCGTAACTTTATCGATTTCCTTTTCCAAAACTCAAGAGGCAGCAGCAACCATTTCACGTGGAATGTTTGGAATGAATGTACCATTGGCAAGTATAAACATACAATCAACATGGTGCGTGCGAGTCTGATTGGCCAGCGGCAGCCATCTTACTGCACATATGCCTGAGGCAGCCAAATTAGGGCCCTGTCTGATGTGTTTGTTTCTCATGAATGAAAGGTTAAAGGAGGTGCAACTCTGCAATTTCTTGCTTGCTTGCTGGCAGAAGGGCTACTCAGATCTCCAGAGGATACCTGCTCTTATTTTCCATGCCTACCAGACCAGACGTGTTGCAAGGGATGGGCGGTATCCACACTTCACCCCACCACAAAAAACGTGTCAATCCACTAACTGTGGAGTGTCCATTATCCTGTCTGGTGGACAGAGGCAAGGAAATTCAAGGAGCTTACCGCATCGTTTTAACGTCGTTGCTGGGTGACCGAATCGAATCGCTATCTCTGGGATTGCAAGTAAAGTGTGCTAACAATTACATCACATTAAAGATGACAGATATAACACACGTAAATATACATTATTGTACATTCACGTTCATTATAATACATTATTGTGTGCGCAGCAAACCGGAAACATTTTTTTTATCGGCTATTGCAATGTGATATCCCGTAAGTAAATAAAACTGTTTTTTAACAACCCTAGTTTATACTTTGCAGAACTCATGTTATGATATGGAGGACCAGTATTCTGAATCATATCATCAATGGGGTATCTGTGATATTTCTCCACTTGTCTCCGGGGTAAATATCGAGGGTAATCGGATGAATTTGCAGCACGACTCTAATCAACAAAAATCGCAGATAAGAATTCGTTAAGCACTATAATAATGGAGTGGCAGCCATAGAATGGAATGCGTCCGTGAGGACTTGCACGAAGAGATGGAGTGATGAAATCAGTTTATGTGTAGATACCTTAATATGTGCTCGCTAATATCACTTGTGCAGACGACACAGCGGATTTTTGTCTCTGTGAGTGTATAAGTGCGTGTGTATCCATGTGTCGCGACAAGTGCGCCGCGCTACGAACCCGGCCACCCGAGTTCGATTCACACTCATGGCCAACACCATTGATGATTATCTAAATCGTTCCTGAACCTTCCCGAGATCTACTCGATCTCAAATGAGTACCTGGTGCAGTGTGTAAAAATCAAAGCCACTGGGGAGATAAAGGTGGCTGGGTGTGGTTGCTGCCCACCCACTCCCTCATATGCCGTTCCAGCCTTCATAGGTGCTCGCTAACAGCACTTGCCCCAACAGTCTGTTCAGGCTATACGGGGGATCTTTGTCTTTTGCCACTAACACCTACAGTACACATGTTGAGATTCTCGTGCACTATAGATATTAGAGGCATACATACAGATACAAGACGAAGACCAAGATCCCCCCCGTATAGACAAAACACACTTCAGTGTCGAGTTCTGTTAGTGAGCAACGTATTAACGCCGACAAGGCACACGGGAGGGTTTTGTTGCGAACGTCACACCCTACCGCCTTTGTCTTCCCTGTGCTGGTGTTCACATACGGCACCAGATGTTCATTTAAACCCTTGATGGAGCCAACTCCAACCGGGGAGCTGAATTGGTAAGTTCTGATTGTAAGTCATTGTTAGTCAAGCACTTTAGCCACAGCCGCAACTAGCTAGATAGAAACAGTATTACTGTGTTCATGAGTTGGTACCTGGCAGGTAGATCGCATGGAGCATGAGGACGAAGATGATGGAAGATCGTGCTCCCATCATTGTAGCTGAGCTGAAGTTGTCTCTGATGATCCAGTGTAACCAGTGTGACAGTGTTGGGGCCCACTGCTGTGAGAGTCATACAGCTCGCGTGACAGAAGGTGTTGTGCAAGTGTTTTGGTGGTAACAAATAGAGGAACCAGCTCCTGCAACTTCCATGTGAAACGTACAACATATTTTTCAGGATTAAACAAGTGGGGAAAACTGTTTTGTGCGTGCACTTGTGTGTTAGATATTACCGTCACCTAGTGGGGAAATGGTGGCAGAGTGGTTGATCACTGGCCTATAAACCAGTATGAATATAGATGCTTGTTAACAGCACTTGCCCCGATGGTCTGTCTATACAACTAAACAAGGGATATTTGTCTAGACTAGGTAGTAAGAGCAATACGGTTTTTACTCAAGTAGGCATGTAATTGATTCGTCGATTACAATTGTTGCGCTCATTTATTTAACTTGTTTAATTACAATTTATGAAAATTACATTAAGTTCCCTGTAGGCTAATGGAATGGATAAGATGGCACAATTTAGAAAGTATTTGAGACAAATACAAATGGGATGGTACAAATTAAATGTTAAATGTTTGAACATGACCCTTAGTTATGACAATTCTTACAATTCTACAGGAGTTCCAGCCGGGTACATTGTGTAACTCGTTTTTTTATTTCTCTTCAACACATACAACCCACATCACTTACCAATTTCTGGGAATTACTCCGTTCAAGTTCCCCAAACTCCCCTTTCCAGATCCTTTTATCCTCTTCTCCATCCTTCTTGAACTTTCTGTCGTTCCACCAATCCCCTTAGTTTCCCAAATGGGCCTTCCTACTGATCACTCATTTACATTTCACTTTTATTGGAATTTCCAAATGAATCTCTCCGCCAATATGAATATTTCACCACCCTCCAATGTGACTGTGTGCTCAATACGTCAGGCCTGTACGTGACAGATCGCCAATGGGAATTGAGCATATACTTTCAACTAATCAACTAATCAACTCACCAAGTCTAATGACTCTTACGACTTGGTGAGTTGATTGCTTATTTATTTACGTCATTGGGTTTGCCTCTCGGCGTCTCTTACACAATCATAGGTGGTGTGAATCGTGAAATGATTTTACCCAATTCTAGCATGAACACTGATTTAGTACCGGCGAGAATCCTGGATTAGCCATCTACTTTAGATGATAAGATTTTCAGGTGTATTGAGTTCATGGTCTCGGCTCAATTACAAATGCACTGGATGAATTACATGCAGCAAAGAACTTGTTGGCAAAGTAGGAAGGGGAGGGCTGTTTTATTGTTGAGTAAGAAATGTTTCTGCTAGTGACGGCAAAAGTAATGTGTCTAGGAGGTCGACACGTCCATTGCTTGAGAGGTACTTTGTTGTTCCAACAGTTCTTCACACCAGGCGTGCGCTCGTTGTATAATCCGGGCACCCAGAGGTGGGCAGATGGGGATGCTGGCCATGGGGAAAACCATCGTTTTACGACGGTTACTTCCACTGGTATACTATAATTGGCCATACAAATCATTGTTGATGTCACCTGTCACCTGCTTGAACACAATGAAGGTTGGCATGGTCGTAATGGTCAGTATCGTTTATGCCACCGCACTTCACCATCGCTTCCTTCTACCAAAAACTCAAAACACTCGTCAATAACGTTACCTTAATAGGACAATTATATCGTGGAAGACAACATATGAGAAACTTCCTTCTGCTAGATGACTGATATTTCACAATTAACATCTAACCTCCATGGTTTGCCCAGAAGACAATGACACTATTTTATTTTGAACTAAACTTGGGTTCACTTTCACAAGGCTGGAGGCGTCAATCACTTAAGTCTTTTGATAAATTATATTCCATCATCAGGCTAAGTAATTGGAATTGCCTAGCTGTTCCAGAGTGAACGCACAGATTGTAGTCCACAATGGCGATGTTAAGCCAGTGACACATCATATCCGGCCACAGGCATGGTTACACAGGTTTATGTGTCTCGCCAATTGAGAAGCTCATGGCGCCAACCTCAACTCAACCCTGAATGCCTTCCCGTTGCAGTGGGGAAGTGAACGCAATGTCGTAATGTGCGTGGGCACAATGTGGTTTGGCTGATGAAACTTCGTTAGATAAGTACTCTTTACAAGCCGGCTTAAAATGTTGTAGTCATTGTTTTCATGTGCATCTAGTTTATTAATTTAATTGCATGTGGAGCGGTGGTACAGTGGTTTGCACACATGCGGGCAAAACCCTGGAGAGTGAGGGTGTGTTTGTATGCGCTGCGCGACGAACCTGGCGACGCGAGTTCGATTTCCCGCTCATGGCCAACACAAGTGACGATTATCTGAACTGTTCTTGGGCCTCCCCGAGGTCGACTCAGCTTCAAATGAGTACCTGGTGCGGTGTGTAAACATCGCCATTGGGGAGACAAATGCGGCCAAGCGTGGTGCTGGCCACCCACCCCCTCGTGTTCTGTGCCGGCCCTCAGGTACTCGCCGACAGCACTTGCCCCAACAGTCTGTTAAGGCTATACGGGGGGATGTTTGTGTATCTGTGTGTGCGTGCGTGCACAGGTGGGCGATGGGAACAGCCCAGTGAGTGCGTGCCAGTGCATGGGGATTCGTGGGAAGAGCAGCTCAACAGCCTTGTGATCGATGTCCTTCAGCCCAACGGCTTTCAGGTTTGGCCCCAGCACCAATCTTAACCATGCTTAGTACCACTGCAGCATCATTACTTAAAGTACGGAACAACGCAAATAACAATTGGGTGCTATATTATTCATCAAGGCAATATCATTACACGACATTGCAGCAGTTGAAGTCTACTAATTTAAATAAAAATGTGTTCTCATTTCCAATCCAAGCTCCTGTTATCCTCCATTGTCCACTGAGATACTCCATCTGTATGATGTGGTGCACGTAAGAGAGTGTTTAGCACACTGCGCTATGAACCCAGCAGCCCGAGTTTGATTCTCACTCATTGCCAACATCATTGATGAACATATTAACTGGCACTGGGCCTACCCTAGATCGACTCAGCCTTAATTGTCCCTGGTGTGTAAACATCAGTATTTAGGAGATAAAGATGACCGGGTGTGGTGCTGGCCACCCACCTCTTCATTACACCCTTTTCATATTGTATTCCACTTTAATATTTGATCTGTTGGCAGTGTGTTAAACTTTATAGCAGTGTACTGTACAGTTTTTATCGACTTAAGCCAACTGATACATATATCCAGGTTTGCCCTGTGGAAAAGGTGACAACCCTAGTCCTGTCTAAGATGTACTTAACAGTCAAATCGCGTATTTAACGTACGTATATTCTTTAACCTACGTTCTCTTCCTCTCGGTTGTGTAATTCTAAGTATACATCTCTCTATGATTCATTGCACGCTTTTTGTATTTTGTTCCATTTTCTTTGTCAGTTTTCATGTTTACGATGCACGGGTCGTCGCTGGCAATGTGCACCGATTGTGAATGTTCTTCAGGTACATCGGTACGCCAAATGACGTGGTGATGGTGGTGGTTGTTTGTTGTTCTCCTGTACGAAGGTGGAGAGCTTCACACGTGTGCCATACCTATGTGAAGGGGACCTCTACAATGACCACTATGTTCTGGATGATGCTGTGCTGCTGCTGAAGCCTGTTTGATACAACAGATGTCACCAGATACCAGGACACACACAGATATAAGTACCTATGTGGACACTTGTATACACGTGCTCATGTGCTGTTTCAAGCATAAATGCTCGTATTAATATGCTTGACTTGTCTTCCTAATTCCTAAATTTAAACTTTGTATTTTCATTGACTAGAACTGGAATGTACGGTAATAAGGTCAGGTGCTTTGTCTCGAAATACATCTGATACAACTTTAAATTAACAGAGTATGGGGTTGCATTGGCAGAGATGTACAAGCACAAATCACAAAACTTTCAACGCCAGTGAACATAGACACTACTATCCACTACTATTAATAGTAGTGTACTACGATAGTAATGTACTACTATCTATCTATCTGCCGACTCTGTTCTAAAGAAATGCTACGATCTGAAATAATTCTGCTGTATTTTTAGTCTGTGGCTTTGTTAAACACAGAAGAGGTTTTTTTTGTTTTAATTAGTTACTGAAAGGTTGACAGGTGGCACAGAATGCCCAGTTGTCCATATTAGAGCACTGAGCGAGTCACTCCAAGTCACATGTAATTCAACCAAATTCACATTCATCGTGAGCTAATGGTGTTATGGTAGTGATCCAGGTGGCGTGCAGATTGCAGAGCCACACCGTGTTCAGTGTGAGTCGTTTCGACTGCAGTACTATAACATTGTGATAAGCATGTTATTCTGCCACCTGGCTGCGGGAAGTTAATGATACAAATTGTAACTTCAGAGTCATCTTGGAAAGGTTGGTGCATTACTTTGAAATGGAATCAGAATCGGTGGAAACCTCCCAGCCAGTGGGAAACATGCAGTGCCTGTCTGTATAAGGCAGTTTAGAAATGTTTTTAATGATGTTGTTGTTCTCGTGTGTGGGCTTACTCCTGGCACTCCATTTTTCCCCTATTGGCCAAAAACAGGATCAAAATTTAATGGGCCAAACTTCTGAAAACGTTATTAAAGTTTTGGCAATGTGAGCTTTATTTATGCAGGAGGATTAATTCTAATGTTATAGACAATACGATATCTTAATTACACTCGATAGTAATAACACATCTTATGGAAAAATGGCTCAGGAAATTAATATTGCATGCATACAAGATGTGTGACAAATTATTTAAAATTTTCTACGGAACTTTGTATGCTTTTCTAAGATGCTGAAGAAGGTTAAAATTCCATTTGGAAAATGTGTCCAAACATTAAGATGACAGAAGTCCTTCTACGAAACAACAATGCCAGACCACACAATAGCCTGAAGAACAGAGGCCATTGGAACGTTCAAGTGAACCGTGCTGCCCGATCTACCGTATACCCCAGATCTGGAATAAAATGTCTACAGTCGAACAGTGGCTTCTGTTTCACATTCGCAAGTGCATAGAAAGAATACAGATTATGTTAAATAATGCAAGTTAAAACTATCGATGTCAGTTCAGAGACAACTTCCAGATGAATGCGTTTACAATCACCAAA